ACGATGAGTCGACCTGATTGAACAAACGACTGTTAGCAAGGTCTAAGGCCTCGACGAAGTTGGACAATTTCGTCTTCTTCCCTTTGGACGATGCGGCACATCCAGGTAGGACCTCGACCTTATGAATGAGATACTCCTTGAGTATTCGTCTCTGCGGGGTGTTGGCATGCACCTTCTGGACAAGAGTCTCCGCCTCTATGATAACGTCAACTACAGTGCCTGGGGGAGGGGTTGTTGCACCTGACAACGACGAGGACAACCAGTTTGTGTCGCGGACTATGTCTTCATGAATGCTGCCAGGGTCATTGATCATATTCATGATATCCTGCTCACTGTTTTCCTTGAAGAAAGGAATGCAATATTGGCGAAGGTAGATTGTCGCAGTGATGGGATTCGACAGGAAACTGGTGAGCTCATCCTGTGGAATTAACTTATAGATCCCGCGGGAATGGTCTACCTGGCTGTCGTCCATGGTGAAGGTAACCTTGCCCATGAGAAAGCAAATCACACGTCGTCTAAGTTGCTCCAAGCTCTTGGTGCGGTCATTGCTCTCTTCGATTATGGGAATATTTTCGAAGTTGAGCTCTTGAATCTTCATCGCGGAGCCGAATCGTCGCTTGCTCGTGAATCCGAAATTGACTCTGCAGTCGATTTCTTCATCGACTACAAAACGTTTCCAAACATCTGCCACAAACCGCCCACGACTCTCCATCTCCTGGATGCGTATGCTGGCTTTGTTCCATGCAAGTTCAGCTGACTTCCTGAACTCCACCCTGTCAAGGAACACACCGCAGTCTAAAGTAGCAGTGGCCAGGTCACCAAAGAGTGCTCGATCCAAGACCGCCTCCATCCCTTTACCGTCGCCGCCTTTACCCACCTGAAAGATTATCTTTCCAGTGCATTTCTTTGCGAAGGCTGCTTGCATGAAACACAGCTTCAACTGGAAGAGATGTGGGCTACCGAAGTAGAGCGATTCCAGAAACGTTTTCAGTCGCGTACGGACTTCTGCAATACTGATGTTCTGGTGGTCAGCCATCTTGTTCTCCCAAAAGAAATGGTAGTCAAGCTTCAAGTAGCAATTGGCCTCTGCAGACTTGTTTGCGACGTTCCAATTCTTATCCAAGTACACGTCCCGGAAGCAAACTCCATTCGACACTGGCATTGTAGTATCCCATTCTGTCAGGAAGAGTTTGGTGAGCCCCTTCGTTGTATTCTCAGATTCCAATGCCTTGCGAAACTGTGCTAGCATATCGGCGACGCGTCGTGTCCACCGAGCCTGCCATACTTTGTTCCCCGTTTTGACACGCACATGGTCGCTGTTGCTTTTGGCGACGTCAGTCAAGACTTGCATCACATTCTGATCAGCCTCGACCATGTCTCCGACAATGTCCATCATGTAAGTCTTCACATCGTGCCAAGTCCAGGACACCTGCAACTCCTGATCGTCTAAAGAGGTGGACAGCTGGACGAAGAGGCCTTCCAAGGCCAAGAGTAGATCCCATCCACGAACTGTAAAGGAGGGTACCATGACCCATGCTCCATCTTCATAATGGAAGACTTGACGCTGATGTGCCCGCCATTGTTCACCTTCCAATAACAAGCACATAGTGAGCTTTTGGATGTTGCTCATCATGTAATTGGAGCAGTTCATAGCACAAATGAACTTGGCAATGACCATGAGTCGGCATACTCCATCACCAAGTTCACCGAAGAGTTCTACACTCTCGATGTTCATCTCCTGGATCTTTTCAACGAGAGAGCGGGGCTTGACATCAGGCACAAGTGGCGGAACCGGTCCCGGACCAGTCTGTATCTCCGAGAAGGCTTGGAACCTGGACAACATATATGAAGGGAAGCTCATGATACAGTAGTATGTAAACATGTATCATGGCTTCAAATGCCTGAACATGTCATACGATCTCTAAGATGCCCACAAATTGGCTCCACGTAGGCGTTTCGCTGCCGGTGGAGCGGGAGACGATGGTGATACTGCGGCCTTCGCTGCGTCCACCTTGATCTCTACTTCGGTGTTGTTCTCCTGGGGTAATGATGCCGCTGCTCCGTTAGCCGACGATGCTGCTGGTTCTACAGGGGGACTCACTGGAGCGGCAACATCCGGAGCCCGTGCGATCTCATCGATGGACACTGCAGGGGTAAGACTTGTCTGATCGTTCATAAGATTTTCCAAGTCCACCTCAAGGGAATCAGGACCTCCAGCAGCGCAGTCCATGGCACAGGGAGCAGGGTCAGGCTGAGTTCAACGCTCGGGAGCACGGGAACACTCTCAACAGAAACGCTGCGAGAAATCTGACATCCAGCTATGAGTTGACATGGGCATCCACAACAACACACCGTTTCCCTTGCCTGGGGACACGGCGGATGTTCTTCGTGCAGTTGAACCACTGCTGCTCCTCGGAGCATGCACCTTAGCAGCACCAGCATGTGGGCTAGCAGCATCAGTACGTAGGTGCGACATTTTTGAAGCATGGTCCCGCATCAGGAGTACACGTCAAATCTAGAACGGGTTAGCATGGACTTGAATAGGAATGACATCCGCAAATCGAGCATTCGTGTGTCGAATGGTGTCCACGCAGTTTGTACATCTGAGGCTGTGGGTATCAAGGTTCGGATCATGGCCCTGTACAAGGCTTCCCTTTCAAATGTAGAACAGACTAGCATGTCCTGCGGCAAGGATGACACACACAAATCCACGATGTTTACACGGATAGGCGCGCGAGTAGCTTATGCAATGGCCCCGCACCAGAAGTATACGCTACATCTAGAACGGATTAGCATGGACTTCAATAGGCACGACACTCACAAATCGAGCATTCGTTTGTTGAGGGGCTTCCATGCAGCTTCTACATTTTAGGCTGTGGGTCCTGCGATGAGGATGACACCCACAAATCCATGATATTTTTGCACGGATATGGGCGCCCGCAGCCTGTATCTGCAAGAAAGAAGTCTTGAACAGGTTATCCTGTTCTACAAGAGCAAGGACATGGGATCGAGAGAGCAGGGGACAAGAGGACGAAGGGATCAGGGGACAAGGGGACAGGGGGCAGAGGGACAGAAGGACAGGGGGACAGAGGGACCACGGACGCGGGACAGGGGGACACAAGGGGGACAGAGGGACAGGGGGACAGGGGGACAGGGGGACAGGGGGACAGGGGACAGGGGACAGGACGCAGGAGTGTGCGCGTATCGGGGTGGGTGTGCGCGTATCCGGGTGGGTATGTGGTTATGTGTATGTAGGTGTGTTCAGATCTTTGTATGTGTGTGTGAGTATGTGTGCGTGTGTGTGTGTGTGTATGTGTGTGTATGGGTGTGTGGGTGTGGGTGTGTGTGTGTGTGTGAGTGGGTGTACGTGTGTGTTTGTATTGGAATTCGCATGGGTGTGTCTATGTACACATGTACGCGTTTGTGGGTGCGTGTGTGTGTATGTGTGCGGGTGTGCGTGTATGTGTGTGTGTGTGCCTGTGTTGACATAGTGTGTGTATGTACAACAGGTACGACATGTTGCACATTGAGTCTCCCTGCACAAAGCTTATAAAGGCATTTTTGAGCGTCCGCGCCACAGCTCCGATCACCACTTTAGTTACAGCCGTCGTTGCGCATGGAGCACAAAGCCTCGCCGGGATAGTACTCTGCTTCATCTCGAGGAGATGCATAGCTCTGCTCACGTTTATGGCGCGGCTTCCACCAACTTCGGTTGTAGAAGCTCTGGTGCTGCATAACCTCTTGACGGCGCTTAGCCTCTCTTTCCGTAGCCTTCTGTTTATCACGTTCTTGTTGAAGTGTCAACCTCTTCACTTTCAATGCTTCCAACTGAACTTGGAGAGCAAGCTTCGCGTCATCGTCAACACCCCTGGCCGTCTTCTGGGTCATCTCTGCTCTTGCTTTGGCTTTCTCTAGCTCGCGCTTTTGAGGCTCAGCATCTGTCTTGATAGTGGTAGAAGTCTTGCAAGTGCAGCGGTTACCGCCCCATTTGGAGCATCCCGGACACTTCTTCCGAGCCATGGTCGTGTCTTGATCTATGTCTTGGGGCTACTGTGGCTTGCAACGGCTTCGCTAGGAGGTTGCGGACGATAGTAATCGGAATAGGAATAGCAATACAACGCAAACAAGAATAAGATAGTAGATAAACTAATGCAGCTCAAGCCCGTCTGCAGCGCTGAGGCCAACACCTGATGCGGACATAGAAGTAGCATCATATTAAATAATATATCCTATATAATTAGGTATGCATGCAGGAATCGTGCCTCGAAGTATTCGTTTATCATATTGCCATACATCAACTACAGAGTTATATGTATATGACTCCATATATCGACACTCCAAGGAACAATAAGAAAAACGTAAAGTAAAAAATGAAAACTCACATGCCGGTCAGCTTAATCATAGCTGCGCAATATTCTTTACGTGGGTTAACTGACTAAAAGAACAAACACATAGACGGCGAGGTACAGCCAGCGAGGGGGGGCGCCAAAAAAAAAAAAAAATGCGGGGGGGGGGGGGGGCAGCGCCAAAAAAAAAAAAAAAAAAAACTAAAATCTATTTTTTTTTTTTGGCGCTGCCCCCCCCCCCCGGCCAATTTTTTTTTTTTTTTTTTTGGTCGCTGCCCCCCCCCCCCCTCTCGCGGGGACAGCCTGTTCGGCCCTTGCGCATAACAGAAGTCTTAAAAGAAGACATTGCGTATATATAACAAAGCAGCTGTGACGGTAAGGACAAGTGAGAGATCAGTGTACGAAATGTTGCGATATCCCAAAAGGATGAAATACAAACCGAATTATTCCAAATATGTTTGGACTACCAACAAGGAGTGTCGAAAATATGGGGCCCGTAATGTCTTATTTTCTGTATATATATATACACACACACAACAACTCTCTCTCTCTCTCTCTCTCTCTATATATATATATATGTATCATAGCTGCACTTTGGTCTCGCGCCGCAGAAAATGTGCACGAAGCTGGCCGCAGTCTTGTGTCGTGTCCGAGGCCATCGCCGCTGCAATACCACTACCGTACGAAGCTCACCCCGCATGCGCAGGCCCCTGCTCAAGCCTGCAATGGATCTCGGGAGCTGTTTCCGAGTATCGCAGATGTCAACCGGAAGTTCCCGCATAAGAGTCGCGTCCCCTCGTGCTCGTACGATTTATCTTTGCTGCGGCTCTTCTACAGCCACCACCGCTGATGCTGCAGCTTAATGAGGCAGCTTCGTGACACAAGCTCTAAACTCTGAAGCCCAATGCATCGCTGCATCCACGAAATGGTTCCTGGGGATTGCTGAGACAAGGGTCTTGCAGATTTGGTGGATCAAAAACAGTACTATCTTATAAATTACAAGAATAGACTGTAATGGACTACTCTAGGCTATAATATACTGTAACAGGCTATGAGGAGGCGCGAGGACTCCGATAATACCTGTCGGATCTATAACTATAAAATGAAATTTGAAAGATAGGGGACCTCCGAGCATCCTAGATAAAGAAAAGCCAGGCCAGGATTTCGCAATCCTAGACCATGGTATACTGCAGGAGACTAGACTAGACTAGACTATACGACACTCTTCGATACCATATCATAACATACCAAAACACCCGATAACAGATCCTTGACGTTTAAGCCTTCCGAGGCCTTGAGACCATTGAAGCCTGAACTAAGACTTGCTCTAAGGTTTTCTGTATGGGTTACCAGAAGGGTCACTAAACGGGTTATTGCAATGGCTAGTATCCAGTACTCTGACGGCCCGCTATTGTTTACCATGAGGGTAGGAGTACTACAAGGAAAGGTCAAGTCGCTAAGCACTCAAACTCTGAACCCAGTTGCTAGGAGCCTCCACCAGGGCGCCAGCGAAGGGCGCGGGGTGGCGAGGTGTCGCAGCGCTGACCAGTTTCGGACGGAGGGTTTGCGGCTTTTCCGGGAAGGTTTCGAGTTTTTGCTTCTGGGGGCTCAAGAGTGTGCTAGTTTGAGGACGGATTGAAGTAAGGTTCTTGTCACCAGAAGTGTGGGGAGCAATGGCTACAAGTCGTCGTAAGCAGCCGGAAGCTTTCGTTGCTTGGATCCATGAAATGTCGAGTCGCTGCCCGCAGCAAGTTTGGGCTGGCCAAAGTCTTCCTTCGATCCCCACTGCCGCCCACGCTTCGCAGCTCTCTCCGCAAGCTGAAGGCCCCCAAAAATGTGCAAGTCCGGAGCTCAGCTGCGCTTGGACTTGGAGCCTCCACAGGCTCCCACAGGCTCCTTTGTGGATTTGGTTCAAAACTCCCAGGTCTGACACCTACGTCCTGGACCCAAGCTTCGATCCGGATGCCTTCCTAGCAGATCTCAAGGCAGCAAAGGCCCGGTCCGGATCCTCGGAGATGCTCGGAGCAGAGATGCAAAGAGCAAATTCGTGCCCCGCGACACGAGTACCGAGTGTTTCAGGCGGCCGTGGGCGATGCAAGCGAGGAGGACGCGCGTCATCTGCAGGGTCTGGTGCTGACTTCACGGGTGTCCGGGCTGCATAAAACTGACTTTGGGGAGCGGCTTTAGAGGGATTTCGACATGCTCTGTTGCAGGTCTTGCTCTACGGTGGCACTTCGACTGCAGTGGCCAAGTGTTTGCAGTCTTAGGATGCGGGAGTGCAGCTATCGATTCGGCGCTGTTCGTAAGTGAAGGCCATTGCCTGCTGCTGTTGGGCGCAGCTCTGCCCCACTTCGCTTGGCTTGCTTTGACTCTCAGCGCCTGGGCCGCCTGAGCTGGATGCCGCATTGTCATGGACCGTCCTGAATTTGAGGTGCCTGCATGATCTCCTTCGCACGCTGCATGAACTGGGCCATCATCGGTCACCATGTCTCGCATGGAGGCACTTCGGTGAGAGTTGTTCTATGCCTAGACACTCGCTAGCTCCACAGCGGTGAGATCGGTGCACCACAGCACCACAATCGCCGCCGCTGCTGCTTCCGCACTTTTCTCACCACCACCGCATACGCCACCGCATCCACTAACGACTCGGGACCGACTGCCAAAGCTGCGCACAAGATTTGGCTCCGTTGACACGGAGGGGAGGGTTGTAGGCAAATGTAGGTTGACTATGCGCTCGGTCCGATGTGGTGTGATCGAATTGTCCTTCGTCGGCTCTGCGAGTTTTTCTGCAGTGCAGATCAGGCTTTGATAAGCTGCAGAAGACGCATCCCAATGCTTTGCCATCTCACTACAAGCGTCACGGCAGCAAGCAATTCAATGAAGCTTAGCAGTGTTATCTGAAGAGCCATTCAGGCGCGGCGTTTTTGCGATTGGACTTCGCCGCTTTTTGGACTGGATGGACTGGATGCTCCCCCAAGCTTGGGACTCTCGCCGACATATTCGGTAGATGTTCGTGCAGAATCAGAAGCTTCTCAACAGGTGTTACTTGCAATCTGCTTTCACATGCAAATGCCAGCCTCAAGCGAACATCCTGGAGTAGGCCTCCCCCGTTTAGAGAATCTTGCTACATAGTTGCCAAGGACGTGGAGCACAACAAGGTCCACAAGCTGACCGGGTAGCGTTTCAGCTCTAGTCTAGTCTCAACGAAGGGTGGATCGGACACAGTTTATCTTCGTTGCCAAATGGGGGGTTGTCAAAATTAGGGTTTTTTGGTACCCAAACAGGGACCTTCAGTTTGAAAACTATCCAAATCGGGCCCTTAGCTCCCGAACCCAGAGCTGAAATTCATGGAGGACACACCGTGAATCCCTAAATCTAGGCTAGAAAACTCAGAGTTGCATTGCAGGCCCTACCTCGATGCAACCCTGACAGCGCCCGAAGGCAAGAAAAGTCCATGATTCCTATGGATCCTGCATAAGTCCTGCTATTGAGTCCCCACGCGTGCGTGTTTTGCTCTGACGCAGACTACTTCATAGAGGGTAGGTGAGGCCCAGACCTGGACGCACATCCATCGGCAGAGTTTCCGTTGTCTTTTGCAGGCCCATCATTACTACCTCTCTGAGGAGAAGGATCCAGACCTTGTCGAAGAGAACTTCGTGACTCTCAGATCACTGCAACTTCCCCAGGTAGGAACATGAGCGACATGCAAGAAATAGGCGACCTCCGTCCGTGTTAGGTAGGCATCAGAGTAGTTGCCTTGGACGCAGATCCTGAAGTATGTCTTCATGCTGTTCTGGACCTTCAACTGGAAGTTTTCCTACTACTCGCCCAACACCTTCAAGGAGACAGCATACCGCTGGAGTGTCATCCCGATCCCGTCCTCCTCACATCAGCCACAAGGAGCTGACCTTCTCGAAGCCCGACACTTGGCTGGCCCGGAATTGGCCCGCCGAGGCAAAGAAGACGGCTCCAGTCCAGCACCCAGCCCCCGAAGCGACGTCCACACCCAGAAGGTAGACTTTGCAATGTGGCTACTTCTCAGGTGTTGGCCTATGATTGGCTTCGTCTTCCTGCAGAGGCAGTGTTGAGAGGGTTTTTTCCATAGCTTGGTGCATTTGTTGCATGTATCTCATCTCGAGGCACTTCTCAAGGGGAAGGTGATGGAGGCAGCGTATTGGATGATTTTCTTCCTGCACTGGCTCCCTCCTCAGCTTCTACTCAGATGTGCGCTTGATGCCCTTATTCCCCTGCTTCTCCCCGCTTCTCCCTACGTTCATGTCTTGAGGCTTGGAGTTGTGCTGCCCATGATGGCAACGGTGGCACTGCCGGGGGTGAAAGCCCCAGCCATGTTCTCTTTCTATTGCAGTGCTCATCGATGAAACGCCCGACTCGCTGGCCTTGCGAACTGAGCTTTGGCCGCTGCTCCTCGGCGAAGCCGGGCTTTGGCCTAGCAGCATCTCGCCCGGGCAGGCCAGGTGCCCCCTCGCTTTGGGGGGGTTTGCACTTCACTTCAAGCGGCCTTGGGAGGCCTCAGTGCGAGCACTGCTCACATCCGTCGCCGCTGACTTCCTGTCCAACGCACATTCCTTCGAAGCTTGATCGAAATCTATGCCCCTTCCCCAAAGAGCAAGGCTAACCCGAAGCATCCTGCAGACACGTCTCTCGTCCGCCACCAACACAAAGAGCTTCCAGCCCTGTGTGGAAATAGTTCGGGTGTGCAATCCTGCAATCCGTTTGTTTTAAACTGAGGTAATCATCGTCTGCAATCATGCAGGCGGAGATCTCTACCGCTACTCGACGTCTTGCAAGGACAGCACCTTCTGAGAACCTGATCCATGCTTGAATGCATCTTGCATGACAGGCACACTCGGCAGAGTTCCTCTTGCGCTGCGCTTATTCGTCGGCCAATTTTGAGACAGGCACGGATGCCCGTCTGCATTGCGGCTTCTCATAGCGCAAGTTGGGAAGGAGAGAGTTCGAGTATCAGCCTCGTTGAAGCCGAGGAGTTGATCGACACCGTGTATGGTTGGCTGAACTATCAGGCCGCTTGCCTCTGACTCTACTGATGGAGTTCTGCCTTTGATGGGGAAACTCGTCGTGCAAAGATGCACGTAGGTGGAACACCATATGTTCCCAGACATGACTCCGCTGCAGTGCCCCGGCTCTTGGAGGGATGTGTCAGGACGGAGGGTGTGTAGAGCTGAGCGAAAGCTGCAACACGCAGTTTCTTGAGGTCCTCTGTGATTTGGCTCAAGCATTTTGCTGATCAGTTGCACTCCGAAGCTGAGCGTACTTGTTTATACTCATAACGGTGCCAAGCAGCACCTCGTTGCTTGCTTGCGGGCCGCCCTCGCCATGAATTTGGACACGGTCACCCTCCACTAGCATGACAGACATGCTAGTGGAGGGTGACTGTGTCCAAATTCACTGCGAGGCCGGCCCGCAAGCAAACAAGCAGGTGCTGCTTGGCAACGTCCGCTTTGTCCGCGAGGCTGCCTTTGCGCCCGGCGAGTGGCTTGAGCTTGACCGCAAGGTTGGCAAAACAACGGCAGTGTGAAGGGCACGACGTGCCCTTCACACTGCCGTTGTTTTGCAAGTGTGAGCCACGGCACGGGCTCTTCGTTTGTACACACTCCGCGACCAAGTTTTCAGAGTCTGCGGATGCCCGAAGCGCCCACGAGGAGGTGAGCCTGCAGAATCCGAACCGTCATCACGAGCAGCCCAGCAGGAGCAGTATCTCAGGGCGACGGTGCAGCCCCTGGCGACGGAGCTCGTCAGAGATGTGCTTGATAGGATGCCGCAGGATCCGGAGTGCGATGGCTACGCCAACGTTCTGCGTGTCACCGTCTCCCTCCGACAGCGCAACCAAGCCCTGAAGGAGGAGCTCTCTGCCCTGCAGCGTGAACCGGTGACTCGCGACACACGGGAGCTGAGGAGCTGCAGCCCTCGCAGGCTGTGAAATCCCAGGCGCATTCTCAGTTGGTCTCCGAAGCGGGCACGATGCGTGGCGAGGGGACCATTGATTTGACGACTTGTTTAGAGGCCATGCAGGCGCGACTTCTGGAACAGATTGAGAAGAAGGTTGAGCGATTGAGCGAGAAGTTGGAAACACGCATGATGGAAGTTCTGAACTTCAGACATGAGAAAGTGGCTGTCGGCACCGCCAGCACCGTTCGAGCCACCCTTGCGAAGGAGTCCGCTGGAGCTCACCACAACATCCAGGCGGACCATGCCCAAAGCTGGCTCTCCATCAGAAATTCGGCCTCGCGGACTCCAAGTACGACGAGAAGATCGAACTGCTGGATCGAGAAGACGGTGCAGAGGCCAAGTACAGGAATTCATGGGAAATCTCCGAAGGAGAGGAAAAGCTGAAAAGCTTTCAGGGCCTGAGCAACGAGCTGCAGAGGAAGCACGGCTTGCGCGAGGAGCAGAGAGGTGTGATTCCTGCCGGTGAGCGCGCAGCACGCAGCATCAAGGTAAACTCTTCGCCACGCTGAATGAGCTCTTCGAATTTGCGCACGAGCACAAGCACCACTTCTTCGATCTTGTGGAGAGGGTTGTGCAGGCTACCAAAAGGTACCTTTGCAAAACCCCCACTGAAAGGCAATGAGCGCTGCGAGTCCAAGGCAATTTAAGTACATGGACAGCACCGGCAACTTGCCGGTGCTGTCCATGTACTTAAACTGCCTTGCAACATCGAGTGGCACGGACTCAGCTACGAGAACTTGAAAGACATGTACCATGGATTGAAGCTCATAGAACCATGGATTGAAGCTCATAGAAAAGGATGAAGGCGTTGAACTCGTGGAGTTCAACGACGTTCGTTGAACTCCACGATTTCAACGGCTTCATCCTGACGACCGGTACTGGATGGTGGATACCACGACCTGCAGCTGACACTTCGGGTGCAAGGTGAGTTGATCTGCGAGTTGCAGCTTACCACCAAGTACATGAGTTGCATAAAGATAACGGAGTCAAGTGGACACGGAGTATTCGTGGTCAAAAGACAGCTTATTGCCGATGTAGCTGCCAACAGTGAGCTGGAGTGTGAGAACGCTTCACTGGGCTAGCACGGACGCTAAGGCTGTGCTGCAGTGCAGCACAGCCTCAGCGTCCCTGCCGCTGCAGGACGACCACAGGCCCCTGCTCCACATGGCAGCTGCGCAGGGCAACTCCCGCTGCAGCTCTTCCTCCAGCACGGAGCGGATGTAAACCTCGCGGACAAGACTACTCAGCGAACGGCCCTGCACAGGGCGATGGGGCAGGGCCACGCCTGCGCTGCATGGGCCTTGATCTCTGCCGGTGCCCTGCAAGACATCAAGGATGCACACGGGCAGATGCCCCTCTTGCTCGGACTCTTGCACCAGCGCATGCACCCCGAGAGCGAGGCCGTGGCGAGGTGCGTCTCCATGTTGTCGCAGACGCTGTGGAGTGCCAAGAAGGAGCTCCGCGAGGTGGTGCAACAGCGGTTGAAGAACAGCTCCGAGTTCGTCAGTGCGGCCTATGACGATAATGTGCAGACGTCGAGTACCTGTGTGCCTGGGCGAGCCCCAACAGCGCCGCGAACGACGGGAAGCATGCCCTGCACCGAGCGCTGGCCCAAGGCCACACGGCCGTGGCCAGGCAGCTCCTCACCTACAAGGTCAACATCTGGCTTAAGGAGCGCGGCTAGACCGCCTTGGACGTCGCCCTGGAAGTGGCAGCGGAGAAGCCCGCATCTGTCGAGGTCCTGGTCAACCTGCACGACCAGTACAAGCACTACAAAGAAGATGCTGGCTTGACGTTCCTGATGTTATCGGTGAAGCATGGCACAGCGAAGCACATCAAGCAGCTCCTCGACAAGGGCATAGAGAAGGATGCTAGATCCGGGGATGGAAGCACGGCCCTGATGCTAGCTGCTGTTCTTCAGGTTTTGTCTGCACCCTTGTCCAGGAGCAGTTTGAAGCACTCCTCGTGGCCACCCTGCATGGCGAGCATCAGCGCGGTCTGGCCCTCGTGTCTTGGCAGTCCTTCTCGGCTTCCTTGTCCAGGAGCTCTGTCAAAGGGTGAGAAGGAGTCCTTGACAGAAGCAGAGAAGGACTGCCAGAACAACGAGGGCCAGACCGCGCTGCCACTCGGCATGCAGGGTGGCCGCGAAGAGTGCTTCAAACTGCTCTTTGACAGCGGCGCAAAGAAAAACCTGAAGAACAGCACTAGCAAGACGATCTTGCAGCAGTGCGCCGACAGCGAGAAATTCCGGGCACTTCTAGGTCCGACAGCCTTAATGACGGCGGCACGCAACCGCGGTGCCAAGCTTGTCACAGAGCTCTTGGAGCAGGGAGCGGAGGAGGATTTCCAGGACAAGGACGGTCGGACGGCTCTGATGTTCGCGGCTCGCTACGGCCACACGGAGTGCGTCAAGGAGCTCTTGGCCAGAGGCGTGGACAAGGACGCCTGCAACAACGACGGCCGGCCCGCCCTCATCATCTCAGCCAAAGCAGGCCACACAGAGACCGTCAGGGAGCTGCTAGCAAAAGGTGCAGAAAAGGATGCCCGGGACGAGAAGTCCGGCTCCACCCCGCTCATGCACGCCGCCGTTAACGGCCACACAGAGATCGTTAGAGAGCTGCTGGCGAAGGGCGCAGAGAAGGATGCCCGCGGACAAGAGTGGCGACACCGCCCTCATATGCGCCGCCGAGAAGAGCCACACAGAGATTGTCAAAGAGCTGCTGGCGAAGGGCGAGGAGAAGGATGCCCAGGAGATGTTCGGCGACACCTGCCGAGAAGGGCCACGCAGAGATTGTCAAAGAGCTGCTGGCGACGGGTGCGAAGAAGGATGCCCAAAGCCACCGTGGCCAGACAGCCCTCATGAAAGCCGGGCTCGCCGGTCACGCTAATGTCGTGAAAGAGCTCCTGGCGAAGGGTGCCAACAAGGAGCTGATGGGCTACGACGGCAACACTGCGGGTGTGTGTGAGCGTGGTGCTTCTGATCTGACGAAAAACTCTGAGGCCGTTGGAGCTGCACTCCGGGACAGTCCCAGGACCTTTGCGCTTTGCTCCGGGTTGCGGAGAGAGTTGGAGGTGGAGAGGCACACCTCGAGCGTGAACGTAGGCACTTGATAGTTTCGATATGTGTTTGCATTATGTTAGTTGCTCTTGTTCTGCGCATGTGACATTCCTTCTTTGTATCGTATAGCCCGATGGCAGCAAGGTCGTGGGGAGATTTCCCCGGCTCTTATCTCGAAAAGTCTTCCGAGGGGCAGAGGATGGCAGAGGGTTGTCTCTATGTTAAGGGTTTAGGGTTTAGGGTTCTATATACATAGGAGCTGCCAGAGACTTGGCCTCCGAAAACGATCAGTCGACCATTCGCGAAGACTCCTGGAGTAAGAAGCCCTCTTCCCTTCCGAATTCCGTAGATTCCGCAAGGACTCAGAACGCATGGCGAAGCCATGCGATAGAGTCAAGAAGCAATAAAGGGCTTCAAAGGCGTGCCTCCAAATGTCGACGCCTTCTTGATTCCGCTGCATGGATTGCTGCTTGCCTGCCACTTGCATCTTAACCTCTTCGGGGGTGGAGACAACCGGGTGCCCATCCCCTCGTCGGGCATCCTTCTCTCTCTCTCTCTCTTTGTCTCTCTCGCTCTCTCTCTCTCTCTCTTTCTCTCCTCTCTCGGATCGCTGAATGGGCAGTTCTTGGCAGGTATCGCAAGCTCCAGCCTCTGGTAAAGAGCCGCTTCTCTCAGCCTTAATTCGGTGTCTGACAACTTTGGCAAGCTGCATCAAGCTGCGCCGCCACAGACCAGTACCAGTGTAATTTCTGGCCTCTGCGGCCCAGGCATATGCAAGAAGCACAACGTCCAGTATGTGCAGATGAATGCGCTGCGTCGCACGTGGATGATGTTTCAGGTTGCAGCTGCTCGGCAGGACAAGGCTGCTGAGGCAAACATTGCGAGCTCGTCGGTTTGCCCTGAGGTCGGGGATGCCGACATGAAGCGCTGCACGGTGCTCCGGCAACAATGAGATGCTGTTTCGGAGATGTCGCGCTCCATGCAGACATGCATGAGAGTCCATGGCAGAGGCCCTGGTGCCACCATCTGCGTACAAGAACTCGGTCGAGCGACTTGATTAGATTCGAGACATGGGCAGAGGACTTTTGATTCGATCGTCTGAGCCAAGGACTGACGGCCCGGGCCTTACGAAGCCATGCTGCCGGGTGTCTAGAGTCCAATTACTTGCAGGTCCGTAAAGGCCACATCAGCACAAGAATCCTGCATCTGAAATGTAAATTTCCAAAACACATGAGCTGGCACATCTTGATATTCATGTGACCGTCTGGGCCCCGGAAGAAGGCTTGCTGTGGTTAGGCGCTCACTGATACCGCTGCCATGTTACACGACACGCGTGGCACACGACACGAAAATATCAGCGTGTCTGCGAATTGTTCCTACTTGCTTCCCTGCTTAAGGGGCTCAGTCGCCGGTTCGAGACAGCTGAGATGCATCATTGTGTAGACTTGCCGGATTGCCTAAGATGCTGCACGATATGAGCTGAAGGTCCATGCAAAATCGATGGTTCGAAGTTCGAAGTATTGTATAAGACATATCATTGTTAGATTGTCAACGGAATGGCCACTTGGACCGTCTTCTTCCGAAATGCCTCGTATGTGCAGCACAGGTTATCTTCAATTTCTTTGGCTGCTAGAGCTGCCAGCAGTTATGTCAGTTGCCTGGCTCTTGCCCACACTGCGCGACGGCCACTTGAATTTTGCACTTGGCAAGATCGTTGCTGCTCCCGGCCAAGGGGCTGTGGGTGGGTTTTGGCAGTCGCGCTGGAAAAGAGTGCTCAGTGGTGCGTTTGTGTCCCTCCCTTGTCTTCCCTCCACCAAAGCTGCTGTAATCCTTCCCTTGTGTCACCACATGCCATACAGACAATCGTTCATATCGACACTGCATGTTTTCGGCTTGTTACCGTTGACGAACAGTATCATTCGCATTGTCACGATCGCTGTCAGTACACGCACATACCGTTGCCATGGTGTTCTCGATAAATTATTCTACCGCTGCTGCTGCTGCTTGGTTCAATTGGGTTTTACGTGCGACTACTACGACAGCAACAACAGCAACACTACAACAACTGCTACTACTCCTCCTCCTGATCCTGCTGCTACTGCTGCTGCTGCTGCTACTGCCAGTCCTGCCGGTGCTGGTGCTGCTGTTGTTGCAAGTCTTATTGTCTTCATTGGCATTGGATGCGCTCTTGTTCCGGTAATGACTATGATGCTGCTTGATTTCATTGCTTTCCTCGCGGCCGGGCCCTGAACTTGGAGCAGGACGATATAGACTACTCGGCCATCGGTTTTCTGGAACAGGCCGGAGGGTTTACAGCTTGGAGTTCAAGATTGATGGAAATTTCTAGCAGATCACAATCTCTTGCATGAGGAGCCGCTGTATCTTCACAATCAGCCAACGCATAAGATGCTTGCTTGTGCTCTATGTCCTCAAGGGGCCTGGCTAAGACTCCTTTCCCGACGAAATACCTCCGACACCTTCTGCATTGGCATCCTGCACATAGCTAGCTTCTTGAAGGCAATGTCCATTATCATTAGATCCGGATCACCAGTTCTCCAAAGGCTCAGATAGGTTCTAGAGGCCACTAGAACAACTGCCAGATGGAGGTGGTAGCATCATGGTAGCTGTACCTAGCTGTTTCTTATCTTCTAATTTACCTTAATATCTTCACGTGGTCTCGGGCAGATAAAGTCACGAAGTACACAAGCACTTTGTCACAGAATTAAGTGGATACAGTAGCAGCGCGAAAGGCCGTGAAAGGACAAGCGAATAAATAGCATGGGTCTAACAGCTACGTATACAGTACATGAGCACACATACATACATATACACGTATTTCTGTGTGGTAGTAGATAGATATTTCAATATATAGATAGATAGATAGACAAATTCATGTAACAAGATAGAATGGATAGACAAGTAAACAAGCAATTGCTTAAAACTTTTGCATACAGATACTCTTTCATATCATACCATGTGTGAAGCGCGCTGGCATACTTGTATAGATGTGTGCATACATATTGAAAACACAGTACTGCATGGATGCATGCATCCTAACAAGAGCCAGTTATGCAGGCATAGTAGGAGTTCTAGCACAATCCTTTCCCAAGCTCTCGAGCATCATAATCATGAAGCTGTGCAGCCATGTAACGTAGTTTAACTTGAAGAGGGTTCTGGCGGCGTTGCAAGCACAGCCAGTTAAAAGAGGAGTGGGGTTCCACACGGGATGCTTCCGGCCGCCGTTGGCGCAAAGTCGTCGACGTGCCGCAGGCGCCCCAGGAGGTGCTTCGCAGGTGTTAATCAACTGCCGTCCTAGGTTAGTAGTGCGAGCAGATCGTAGAACATTGACAAGAAAGTGAGTCATCTTCCCACCATTGTGTTTGGAGTGAATGATTGTCGAATCTGCCACGCATTCACGCCACGGTGCATGGGTTTCTCTGTGGGGTCGGATTCAGCGGAGGGTGGTCTGTTGTGAGCATAACAGCATGAACTGCTCAAGCGATGGATCTCATTGCGATGAGGTCTTGCCCGATTGCGACGGAGGCCCACCCGGCCCCCTTCTTCCGCTGTCCGTGAATCCTGAGAGATATCGGAGAACGTCCCCGAGCGATCATGCCTTCCAAGCAGCTGCGAGTGTGGGAGTTTCAGCCTTTTTTGGACATTCCTGAAGCCATCTGAGTTCAAGCGCCGAAGCCTCCCAGCAACATGGCAGAGAAGCCGAGCTACCAGGATGTGCACGGCGAGGCCACCCAACCCCCCAGATACGGCCGATACTTTTTTGCGATACTTATAATACACTGTATTCTATAATTTTCGAGTATATTACAGTCCTCCACTACAGTATAGTATGTGTCATAGCATATCATAGTACCCCGTAGTATACTACCTCTGAAACTGTGCCTCAGATGCCCGGCGGGCCAGTCATCGACGAAGAAGGCCTGGCGGTGCAGTCCACCGGTGAGCCCGTCAAGAAGCGTGGCGAAAAGTTAGATTCGACCAGCCCACTTTTTTCGGATTGATGATACTGTAATCAGGCAAAATGCAACAGACAATACTAGAATTTTTGAATATGCTAGAATATACGATGATGTCGTGTGTTTTCCTCCTAGCTTCGCTAGTCTTCGGTGACTTCGGTAGATGGTGACTGCCCGACGAGGAAGAGCTATCAAGAGGTTCATGGCAAAGCTCCCTTGGCCGCAGAAAGCTTCCCAGGGCTAAGCCGGGTTTCGGGGTTTGGGGGTTTAGGGGTTTTTAGGGGTTTAGGGTTTAGGGTTTAGGGGTTTAGGGTTTAGGGTTTAGAGTTTAGGGGTTTGGGGGTTTTTAGGGGTTTAGGGTTTAGGGGGTTTAGGGGTTTTTAGGGGGTTGGGGGCTTAGGGTTTTGGGGGTTTAGGGCAGCTGCCGATCTGAGGTTCCAGGAGGCCCTGTGAGAGACAGCAAAGGATTGGCAGTTCAGTCAACGGGTGGGCCGGCCAAGAAGCCTGGTCTGCAAAGCAAGCATTACCTATACGATTTTGGGGGTTCCTTATTCTAATGATAGTATAATATACCCGAAAACCCTATGCTAATTATTGTTATTATTTTTATTAGGTCCCTAAGCAAGGGGCGGGGTCAAGCTGGAAGAGCTAGGCTGTGCCAAGGGCGGATTTGGTTTTGGGAGTTGCGATGATGCTGCTGTGGGCACTCTGTGACGGGACAGTGATCGGCTAGTTCCCACAACCAAGGAAGAAGAGCTACCAAGAAGTCAATGGCCCTGCTGCTCGGAGGACAGTCCGGCTTTATCATACATACCTTAGACATCATAAGCTGCAAACCCAAAGCGAACCTGAACCCTAAGGCCCTAAGTAGAAAACCAATCGCTCCGAGCCGAGGTTCCTACGGGGCCAGTCATCGATAGCCAGGGCCTCGCGTGCCAAGTCTCCGGGGCGCCCACCAAGAAGTCCTACGAGGAGGTTCACGGCAAGGCAGCAACGGCGTAACGGCTCATTCCATGGCGTCTGAAAAAGGGACTCTGGTAAGTGTAAGGCTACGAGGGATACGAGAAGAGTAAGCTGAGCGCGCATGTCCTCGAGCATCTGTGGCCGGCCAGCACTTCTCACACGAATGTGTTGATTGGCGAAGATTTTGCCGTTGCATGCCAACAACTCTCCCATCCACGAGCCACGACTTCTTGAGAGAGCTGTTGCGGCATCTGACGACTTGCAGCTCGTAACGGGTCTAGCGAGACAGTCTCGACAGCACCTGGCAGATGCCGGACGGTCCGGTTCTCGACGAGGAGGGCCTCGCGGTGCAGTCCACTGGTGGCCCTCCCGAGTAGGTGCGGCAAGGAGACCGCGCTTCTCTGAAAAAAATCTCACATGGCACATGCCCTGCAAGCAAGTAAGTGATCATTGAATCATGTATCAGTCTTGCTTCGTGCCTGGAGGAGGAGCAGAGAAAGAGCCCTGCTTTGAACATAGCTGGCCGTGAGCAGCATGGCTAGGGCCCGGCTGGGGGGCGAATCGCGGCACCTGTGCGTGCAGACGAAGCTTACGCACTGGAGCCCGTATACCCTCGGGTGTGGACGAACACCGGCCAAAACCTGAGGCTCATCTTAGCGGATCGATGCTGTCGTGATGTTGCAGTCGCGACCGGTGCAACGCTGCAGGATTTTCAAAAGTGTGTTTAAAACCCTTCGAGCCCTTGAGCAAGTCTGCAGCCTGCTAGCACTGCTGCTGTCACGCATGGTACCTGGTAGGCATCAGGACCCCGGCACGTTTGCGATCACTTTGTTGCAGCTCCAATGATTTCATGGGCTTGCGGCTAGATAGAAACCAGCTGGCGAACGATCCACGTCTGACTGCATGATACCAGAACTTCAGCAAACAAACGGGTTTTGGAAAGGTCATTCCAGCTGCTACCCGAAAAAGGGTTAATATTTGTTCCAGCAGAGAAGCCGCAGCGCGCAGGCTTTGAATCAGGCGCTGCCAGCGGAGCGCGCCAAGGTCGGGGTCTCGACGACGCTGCCAGGGTTGTGTCTGCGATCCGCTTGTGACACACCGGACAAATCTGTTGAGACGGGCAGGGCATCTTTGAGTCTTCAACCGCACCCCAGTCATCTTGGATTCACTTATTGAGGACATCCTCGAGCATCCTGTCTCCTGTGCTACGATAGAACATCATGCGAATCCAACTATGTTTTCACTTATGTGCCCAGGCCTGCACCGGGGGCCAGCCTAAAGGTAAGCTGCTCCTGCGCCGGGTTCTCAATTTGCTCCTGGCATGATGTACTATGCAGTTTTCCTTGTTCGACTCAGCAATAGTGAGCGGTGTGGGTCGTTTTGGTTGTCGGATGTTCGATTTGAAGTTTGTCTCTCCACCTTGAAGCTGCACTACATCCAACTTTCCTCCTGCAAAATCGTCGCTAGACTGTCGCAAGCGAAGCAGGCAGCCCGCAGGAACGAAGGATGGAAGGAAGACTAGCACCGTTCCTCAAAGTCACTCGCTGCGAGCTCTCAACAAGCCAAGACCGTCAATGTTTCTCGTGCTTCAAATCGGTGAGCAGAGACAACCATTGGTAGCTTCAGGTGATACTGCCGTCGATGGTGTGGCGGGGAGCAGAGAGCTTTGGAGTGACAGACGGAACCGTCTCAGGAGGGTTCAAGCGTGACCTGCAGAAGCACGAAGCACCCCCCCGAGGTCACAGATCCCTTCAGGATCGTCACCGAGCGTGTGCCGAAGTTCGGGGCCGGCGGCCCAGCCGAGTGTGTCGAAGAGATCCGTTTGAGGGAACGCACTCTCGTCAAGCCGAATTCGACTCATCCCCAGAGTTTGGGCGCGAGGCTTTTCACTTCAGAGCCGGCGGTTTCTTTCAGCAGCTTGCTTGCACTTTCGATGTGTTTTGCCACAGTTGTTGCTCATTGTCGCCATAACGAATCGGACCACATCCTTCCTGCATTCCAGACAGGAGATTGTGTGACACCAAAGCTGCAACCAGTTACCGCGCTCAGGAACAACTCCTCAATTCTGCCGGTCTTCGTCGAGCCCAGGGCTCAGACAGTGAATGAAGGCGAGCACTCGTTGCTCAGCGTTTTCAGCTTGCACCTACAGCCGACATATGGGCGTCTGCCGTAGGCATGTGATAACCGCAGCCAGTGCGGCGCGGGAGGACGGCGTGTCCCCACGCGCTGCTTGCTCAGTCAGACGATGCTCACGTAGTCCTGCATCGAGTTGAGCAGAACAGTGATTCAGTGACGCCGCAGGCTGTGGAGCCGTGTTTAGGGGCTTATGTTTTGTGTGATCTGTGTACAGGTCCTGATCGCTTCCGTCTGTGTGTCTCCTTTCTAAGGCCCTGGTCGACATCTTCTGCGGTGTGGGCCTCTTTGCCCTCAGCGCGGCAAGCCGCTTCCAGCGTGTGATCGGCATCGAGGTAGGTGCTCGGCTTTTCTGTGATCATCGTCATGGTCGCCATTCTGACAAGAAGGTGTGTGTTTTCGGGGTCTGTCGAAGGTTCACGCCGCGCAACTAAGCTGCCAAATAGTGCGAGAAGAGGATCGTGGTGCCAGGTGGATGCTACCGCCGTTGGTTTGGCCCGCCGGAAGCCAAGTGCGACGACCCGATGCATGTCTTTCAAGAAGCTCCTCCTACATTCTTGCTGATCACGAAAGCTATCTGTGGAGTTTGTGACAGTTGGCATTTTCCAATCCACTTCCACTTTAGCAGGCTTCCAGATCAACCGCGTGTCGGTCCTTATCTGGTAATAGTGAAGCGACCCACCTCTCCGCCCCACCACAGACATGATTAATTCAGAGGCAGTGCCCTCCCCCCCCGGCACCTCCTTGAAGATCTCGTGTCCAGTGTTTAGAATGCTTTCGCGCAGTGCATACGTGCTGTCTCGACCCTGCAAGATCAGCACTAGTTTCCAGCAGCAGTTTCAAGGCAGCATAGCGACTTTCGTGGAACGATTTTCAGGGACATTACTTAATTGCGCTTATGTCGCACACATCTGCCTAGCTATTGCGCTATCTGACAAATAACATTTCTGCGCCGTGAGCCATAGCGAACCTTGCGGTTGCACCAGCTGCTTGTTGCGACTCTTACTTGCCGAGTCGCTGGGGGAAAGAGGAGGAGGAGAAGGATTTCAGCAAGGACACAGATGAGCACATGCTTGATGGAGACGATGAAAATAAACAGAAGAGGTTGTATCAGTGTGTGATTTCGGCGGTGGTCGTTTCGCTTGCCATTGCACTTGTTGTGGTTAGGGTTGATTCTACTGCTGCTAATGATCAAACCGATGGCAAATCTGAAAGCTACCCATATCATCTCGTATCACCCAGGAACAGCCGAGCGAAGCTTGCATGAACGTGTCTCGGAGACAGTCCTGACTTTGTACGGACTTGCGGGACGTACTCCGCAAACTGAGCAGACGAGATTCCTGACCAGACTCTATGCTGGTTGTCATTCTGCGCTCTTCCCAGGCCGCAACGCCGCCGAGCACGGCTGTGAGGCCGAGTTTTTAGCGGCAGACGCAGCAGATGGTCTGGCGTCGGGCGCCGAGACTTCTCCGAGCTGCAGATGGAAGTCACAGCTTTCGTCTGACAAAGTGCAACGCAGAGTTGAAAGTGCTCTTTGTGAATTTCGGGCGAGAATTCGAGGCCCATCCCGTGTTTGTGAACTGATCTAGGGCAGATTTACAGGCCTCAGCTGCATGAAGACATCGAGCTACTTCGAAAGCTGCCGTTCGCTCGTGCTTTGATCTTGCGATGTTGGTTCGGCATCTCAGGCAGGTGGCTGCAGCTGTGGCACCCGAGGATGCCGCCCGCGACTGAGTCTGTTGGATTGAATTTCTTGTTTTGCTGTTATTGCTGTGGTTCAGGCTAAATTTGGAGCTTTCGTGTCTAAAAGGGCGGGGTGCACGGGCACGGCCGGCTGAAGGTGTCGGCATTGTCTACTAAGCAGCTTCGCAAACAGGTTGGAAGAAAACTAGCTTAGGTTGCTATCCTCGACCCGCCGCGACAAGGGCTGACAGCAGAGGTGGCTGGATCAGCGAGCAGATAGATCGAAAGACTTCTTGAGGTTGTATTACGGGTTAGGTTCGAGGGATTTTTTCTTGGCATGCTTATGGCTATCCCAGGTGCGGTGCAGAGCTAGGGAAAGTGACAGACCGCCTTAGAATCCGTCATCCGTCTGCTTGATGTGATTCTCATCTGTCAGTTGCCAGCTGCGTTGTCATCTGTGAATGGGCACAGCACTGGTGAGTCGCTGAAAATAATATACCATCATGTATTTTAACATATGACAATATGCTATAGTATGCCTTCGTAGAAGAGTTGTATTGTTGGGTTAGTGGTGGTGTTGGGGCTTGGTGCACTGGCACGGCGCCAGGCACGGGAGGCACTGGCCTCTTGGAGACCGCGGCGTGTGGTTTACGTGTCGTGCGACTGTGCCGCCAAGCTGCAGGAATCTTCGAGTAACAGCCCTAGTAGTGATGGTGAAAGGGGCCAAACTACATCGTGCAAAGCTTGTTGTCTGGGCAGTGTACTTCGATCGATGTTTAGGTTTGAGAGCACGAGGTTGGGAGAATGACCCTTTCAATGATCCTTTCAAGACAAGGGCATTGCGCCTGCCAAGGCCACCCAAGCTCGGGACCTGAAGGACTTGCCATGCCTTGCCCATTCGGGGAGGTGATGTCCAACACTTTGGCGAGTCGGGGCATCGCCGCATAGGGATGGAAGCTTGGGGATTCCGATCCGTCTGTGCCTGTTTGCGCCAGCCAGTCTTTGCAAGGACTTGCAAGGACTTGCAAGCACCTCGTAGCGCTCCCAGCAACACTTCTGAAAACCGGGTGACACAGGCCTTACCCTACATCTTGAGTCCCCAATGCAAAACTCTGAATCCAAACGAAGCCAGCATGCAGACGTACTGATTTGTCCTTTTCTGCAATGGAGCGAGGCTGGTCTGCACGACTTGGTAGCCTCCAAGAACCTTCCTCAGTCGGTGAATGGTCGAATTCCATCGGGTGTGGTCTGGGTGTGGTTGTGTAAAGTCAGAGTCCATAGGCCATAGGGTGTCCCGGTGCGTAGCTGAGTTGCCCTCTGATCACAGGACCTGGTCGATGCGGGCTACACGATACAATCGGCCAAATCCTCAGCAGTTCGCGGCGTAAGCAACGTGCCCTGGTTGTGCCATGGTCTGCTGCCCCAGCAATCAGAACAGCTTTCTGCACAGGGCACATTTCTTGCTACGGTGCAGCTCGAGGCGACTCCATTTGATCTTTTTCCTCAAACGCGCCACTTGGAGGCCTTGCACGCTTCAGCCCGCAGAAGTTGGAATTTCGAGTTAGCTGCTAGCCTCAGCCATTTTACTAGCATAGCATATCGCGCCGGAGTGCAAGATGACAGAGGTGAAGGGACCTTGTTATCAATTCTGTCTGCGATGCGCAAGAGGCCTAATTTCACTGAGCAGTCGACCCTATTGCAGCCCGTTTCCTGAGAGGCTCGAACGAGAAACGCACAATGCAGTGTCTCACCACTTCGTGATCGCAAGTGGAACCACGAAAGCGCAGGTTGTCGTCACGCTGGAGCGTGATGCAGAGAAGTGAGGGCAGCAACCTCGTTCGAGGCCATAAAGGCGAGGGCAAACAAGGCTGTTTGAGTTTGCTAGACCGTAAGCTGTGCGACATCTTGCACACGACTGCGCAGATGGTTTCCTGTCGGTAGAGATGGAGCGACTTCCGCAGCAATTTCAAAGCTACTTCCCGCTCCTGCTTTCGGTGGTGAGGACTTCGAGGCCCCGCACCTGAAGGATGGTTAGACCCCAGCATGTTAAGGGTGTTTTGGGAGAAGGCTGCTCGTGACTCGTGTGTGTGAATAGGAAGTTTTGCATTCCTAAGCCTTGGAGCTACATGGCCACCTGGCATCTGAAGCAAGCGCACGGCGCAAGGGAGTAGATTTGCTCAGGCATGACAGTCCACCCATTGCATCTTCGGTTGCAGGATGCGCGGCTCTCGCATCGCAGCATTGGCAGCCCTTGCGCCGCACCGCCCAGTTGTCCTGCAAGATTTACAAACTGTAAGGGACCAGGTCCTTTGCGCGGTGATTCTGGGTGCAGCTCGGTGCAATGCACGCCTTCACAGCTTCCGATTGCACGACTTGCACACATGTAAAAGTCGGCGGCAGCGTTCCGGGATCAGCTGCGCACGTATGCAAATCTCTGCGCTTGGATTGTGGGCGCCATGCCGGCACTGCACGGAATGAATGCTGGCTTTGGGAACTTTGGGCTTGCTGAGACGTTTTTTGAGCTCAGGCTCGCTCTCTGGGCAGGCCAGGCTCCGGGAAGAGATCGAGGGGCCCTTGCCAGACTGAATTTCACATTATCAAAGCAGTGTCGCAGCGGGCTCGAAAGGCCATAAGCTGCCCTAAAGCTCCTAGCTCCTAAAGTAGGCCAGAGCCCTAAAGCTCCTAAAGTAGGCCCCTGGGGGTCGGCAGTTTTGAGGGCTCGATCCCCTTGGCAGGACGCGCCTTCATTGCTCCCAGCAAGGCGCCTGCCAGGCTCACCGATGACTTTGGGGATAGGCGAAAGTTACCTGGTACGGTACTGTGGTACATTGTGGTACCTGAAGTGACATCTGAGTGTTAAAGCAACCTAACTTTGATGGGTGCCAAGTCCCCAGCATCCCTGGCATTGCAGTGTTTGATATCCTTGCAGTCTCAGTGATAACACTGACAAGTGCATCACGATGAGAAAGCATAGTACTGCAAAGGACCAGCAAGACGCAGATGGGCTTCTTCGAGCAGGATAAGTCGATGGTGAAGAAGACAGAGGAGGCCTCACAAATGGTGGGTTTCAACGCCGCTCAAGCGTTTGAGGTTTGAGCAACAGTTTTTTTGGCTTGATCCATTCATGGTAGATGCTTCTGTTGCTGCCTGGTTCCAAGATTCATTTTAGACTTCCCGAACCAGAGTTTTTGTAGCTGACTCGCAGTGTCACGTTCAGTGCCGGATCCGATTGAAAAGCACGACTTCAGTGTGGATGCTGGCAAACAAGACTCGGATCTAACCAATGTAAGCCCCATAAGCCGTTTCTAAAAGGCATCATTCCCTTCTGCACAAAGGCGATGCACTTTTCGACCAGTTGAGCCCACAAAGGATGTAGTCCCACCTAGCATAGCACCCTCGCTCGTTGCTCCTGGCCTGCAGAAAAAGTCGCTGGGCGGAATCTGGGATGCAATCCAGGCTCGTGGAGCTCACTGTAAGGACAGAGACAAGCGATAGGGCGAGGCGAAAGAGCCAGAGAGAGAAACAGAGACAGAGCGAGAGAAAGAGACTGAGACGGAGACAGAGAGACAGAGGGTGGATATGAACACCGTAGGTGTCTAGGCTGTGCATCAATTTGCGTCTGCTGCGGCAGTATCCGTACTGTAGAGTGACATTGTGACCTACTGATCGCAAACACGAGAGTTTACAGAGAGGCGGTGGAGGACTTGCAGAGACCTGCAGAGATCGCCAGTAGAGGAGGGTGTGGTTGTTCAGCCGCTGCATCATGACAGCGTCATTTTTACTCCTATTGTCTATTGTTATCTTTATTATCAGTATTCTTCTTCTTACAGCTATTGGCTATTGTTACGCACCGGTTTGCTTGAGGATCTCAAGGCTTTTTTCGGGCAGGGAATGGAGTGCAGACCACGAACATGAGGGTTCTTTAGTGTCGGGTGGTGCTTCGGTATTAAAACTGATAATAGCAATTCCAAGCCTGCCCAAAGAGAAAGGCAGAGTGAGAGGTTGGAGCAGTGGGTCAGCCAGCCACGAAGAAAACCTGAGGGTCTCTGTCTGATAGAGCAAGCGAGTAGCTGTCTTCGCTTCGTGTGCTTAAACTTGGCAGGTGCCCATGAGCGTGCAATGCCGGTTTGTGTAGCAGTTCCGAGGTTGTGGTTGTGGGGTGCGGTTGTCACTACCATATGCAAAAGCATGAGCTTAGTGAGGCATGTACCCTTCCGTCTGCAGCATGAGGTGTGTACTTCCATGCTGTGGCTGCTTCTTTGGAGCGTGCATCAGCACAAAACTTCCCAACCCTAACCGTCGTTTACACCGAGAAAAGTCAAAGTGTTCCTGGCATCCTCGCAGGTTGTCGATGACTACACCAAGGAGGGCAGTGCCAGCATCAAGGGCCCATTTGCCGGCGCAGCTCAGCTGTCAATCCAGTTGGAGTTAAGGTGGCCTTTTTCCTGCGGTGGTCGCGGTAAACCGCGGCCCGGACCATGCATCTGTTACGTCCAATGCCGGAAGGTCCCGTGGCTCACGATCGTCTACTTCGTCATCTTCTTCTGGTGCTGCGCTGAGACTGCCCAACCTATCCCCGTAGATGGCGAGGCAATTTGAGTCGCCAACTGCCCCATTTCGCAGATGTCCTCATTGGCAGCTCAAAGAGCTGCGGATGGTAATGGGACATGGGAACCCATCACAGAGCTGAGGCTGATCAACATCTTCGTGACCGAGGGTGGCAAGCCGGACAAGCCAATCACGCCTTGAGTCTCAGGACGGGAGTCTCTCTCTCTCTCTCTCTCTCTCTCTCTCTCTCTATTCTATGTTACACATATACACACATACACATATACATACACATAGTCGCATAGTATTACATAATAACAGAGCACTGTATGAATGAAAGCATGTATATAAATATGCATATCTACGTACGTGTATGCGTGTATAGGAGACCTCTTGGTAACCTCTTGGCCCGGCCGCTGCAGGAGATATTTCGAGCAGCTGAGGGCGCAAGAAGTCGCCCAGTCAGCGACACCCTGAGATTTGTGCATAGCGGCCGTTTTTCGATGCCAGGTTGTTATGTCGTGGAATCAAAGGCCTCACAGAGTCGTGTACGATGGGCCTATGTTGGGGTGGTGCCACGCAAGTGTAGACTCTACTAATGCATCCATTCGCCTCCAGGCTTTGACGTTGGTATGCGCATGAAGACTCTGTCTTTGCCGTAGCAAGCTGGAGATAGCTGGATCTGCTCTCTGTCAGGCTCTGTCATGCATCTTCATCTTAGTTGCTCAGTGTTGCCATGAATGAAACCCAGTGGCCCCGGTTAGACGAGCGAGAGTCGAGCGTCATCTTCAGCCGTTCACGAAATCATGCTATGTTGTTCGCCACCCCAGCGCAGTGATGTGTGAAAACTTGGGAATGTTCCAGCGCTTTATCTGCATCTGCAGTGACGACACAGCTGGCATAATCTTGCTAGGTACCTATACAATGCTCAGCAACTTGGCCAGTCCCGTTCGGATGGGTCCACTACCAGCTTCTTGTCTATCTGCTTTTGCTAAGTCTGCCTTGCAGAGGATAGCAGTGTCATATTCAGCCGGCTGTTGCCTGGGACGAAAAAGCGGCAAGCTGTCTGCTCAGGTACCGTGCGCAGCCCCTTGTGATCCCACATTGCTCGGTTCTCCTTTCAAACCGAAGCTCCAACGCCGTGCAAGATCATTGCAACATCCAGGAAAGCCTGTTCAAGAATCTCTTCCAACTGCATTTTTTTAGAGCATTCGCGGAGATCCCATTGCATTGCTGGGTCAGCACTGCGCCTCAGAGATAGGTGGCTTTCCAGCCATGGCCCTTGCCTTCAGCGTCGGTGCTGCAGGTCCTGCTTCAGGTTCTGACATTTTCGGCATTCTGCACTCCGGAAGCGCACCGGTCAACGCACCGCATCCTAAACATCGAGGCCGAATGAGAGCCTGAGGTACGAAACAAGACGACATGTTCGTGATGAACCTGGAAGTCAGTGTTCATTCCCGCAGCCACACGATGAAGCTGTCTGGTTCTGATAAGAAGGTGCCTCCAGGCAGCCCCCGATTCACGCAGCCGGCCTGTCGCAGACGCTGCCAGCGAAGGCAAACTGGGCTCCCGGTTGCCCGGATGTGTCGGCAAGTGGCTCAGGGCAACCAAAGAGTTCATCGAATAGCTATCCATAGCTATCCAAGTCAGAGCTGCCCCTTCCTTGGAAGCTGTTCAAGATGGACCCACCTGTTCAACACCTGCACGAGGCAGCAGCTTCAGCACCTCAAGGTTCTGCAGGCAGCGTGGTAGGGTGGCAGCTGACAGGTCGGACAAGGAATGCGGGTGCGTGTGTGTGTGAGAGAGAGAGGCAAACAGTGGCTGATCGTAGTAGTAGGTCTCATTCTACAATCTGATGTATTAGCCCCGGATTGCTTTTGCTTTTCAACTGGAGTTTGCAGTAGCGGGGGAGCACTAGTTGTGCCGATCATAGTCCAACATGACAGCTTCTGCACATTATGTGGGTTTTGGATCATGCAGAAGCTCGGCCACGAGGAATGCTTTCGGTGCTGTGCCTTCACTCCCATTTTACTGGCTTGACATATTTGTGGGCACTGCAAAAACGCAACTCAACCACGACGCCGACAACGACACGTTACTGGAATGCATTTCTGCACCAAAAGCTCAGCCCTCATTTTTATTAACATGCTTTTAGAAGCGCATGTGGCGATTGGCAGGTGCTAGTTCCGCAGAAAGCCCTCGGTAAAGCCTCAGCTGAGACCAAGTGCTGTGTCTTAAGGAGAGTCCAGCCAGCTTTGCCTTCATCCAATCCGTGAGCTGGAGCGAACAGTGTAGTATTACATGCTAAAGTAAACTATGGTGTTGTATACTATAATATACTATAAAATAATACATTATCAGTCTGCCTGTGCAGTTCCGCGGCTGGCAGCGGCAGCCGCGGCGGCAGCCCTGGTGAGGTCCAAGTGGGGCAAGGCCGCCGGGCCATCGTGACGAGAACACGAGCAGCAAGCATGATAATGCAATTCAATGACAAAGGGAGGTGGAAAGATTCAAACAATATTTTCAGGGTGTACAAACCGTCAATTCTTCATTGCCCAGGCTTTATGTGTCGTGAAACGGAGAACTCTTCCCTGGATTTCCTTGGAAAAGGTGTGCAGACACGCGAATGCCACGGCATCTGCTGCTCAGGCGGGCAGCATCTGGCAAGAGAAGCTTCAATCAGCATATTGTAGTAAGTCTGCTGCAGTTCTTGGATCGTCAAGCCTAAGGGCAGAGGAGCATCTTGTTTCGACATGTTTCGACTGCTGTCAGAGAGCCTCTAGACTTCTCGCGCTGGGTCAACTGCTGCGACCGGGTGCGATGCCTTGTCTCACGGATCAGGTGCCTGTGCAGCCTGCTTGGAAGGCAGTGGATGCTTGGTGCGTTTGTGCACTTCGGCTGCTAGTTCGAAGCTGGAGCACGCAGGGCACGCCGCCACGGCAGTCTTCGCTGCCCTTTCGCCCAAGTCCCAGCATGAGCTCATGAGTCCGAAGAACCAGAGCCAGAAGATCGGGAGCTATAGTCTGGGAGTGCCAGCATCCCACTCCTTCAGGGCCGGATGGGCGTATAAACTACGAGTCCATCGACCAGAGCCCGGTGTCCGTAGCTCAGAAAAATCTTTCAGAAATGCGCCCCAGCGTCAGGTCAGGCTTCGTCTCCGCTTCAGCGCAAGCCACTGCTTGCGAAATGACTGGAGCTGATGACACGACTTTGACTAATCTATCTTTGACCCTACCGCTGACGGCAGGCAGCATGGTGTCGCTATTGTTCGCGTGGGTGGCAACAAGAAGAAGCAACCGCTGTGGCAAGAGCAGGTTTGAGCAACAACCATGGCAAGCAGCCGAACAACAGCAGGAAGTGTTTTTGATAGTTGTACCGACTCCCGCGATGGGTCATATCTGGGCACGACCAGTTTAGCAATACGGACAGTACTCACAATCGGCGTAACGATGATGCCAGCAACGACAGCATACATCTACTGTCGCTGAAACTTCTCTGCTGCTGCGACGACGAGCGTGGCACAGCTGCTTCAGGTGCTGCTGCAGCAGAAGCATCGCTGCTAACATGTATTGCGACGACGGTGACAGCGACGACGAGGACGACGACGACGACTGCTCCTACTGCACCATCATCATCATCATCGTCATGATGGTCGACATGGTCATCGGTTCAACTGCCAGACGTCCCCGAAGGAAGCCTCCCTAGCCGAAGCACCCGGCAACTCATTCTCAAAGCTCCCTGCAGCTGTAACCTGAGAGCGAAGCCCAGGTCTCAGGTGCTCATGGGCACCGTCAGGCACCTCCTGGCCGAGTCAGCTGGTCGCGACAGCCCAACACCAGGAGAGCTGGGCAAAAAGCCTGTGGGGGGTTCCGAGGTCTCCGGGTTCCGAAAGGCGTTCTGGGCTTTCTGGGCGTTTTTGGAGCGGGCAGGGTTTGGGGCCTCGGGACTGCTGCACCAATTTCACCCAACTATGCAAACAAAGCACCTTGATTTGCTCGGTGGTTACTGATGCAGCTGTCTCTCTTTCAGGATACGATGGAGTTGAGCCCTCAGGCATTGAGGCTGCTCTCCCTCCCAGGGGCTGCGCTTGAGCCCAAGCCGTACGCCACGGAGTGCCAAGCTCTGGCAATTCCAAGGTCATGGAGCTGGTCAGGGAAGTGAACGACATGGAGGCGAGTGCCCGCCGTACTTTTTAGTGCCCCTCTTGCGCATCCTTGGACAGGGTACGGCGAAAGAGTTGCAAGTGCGAGCCTGGGCCCAAGACGTCATGTTGCCAGCGGGCTTCCGATGCAAACGGCGAGATGGCCTCGCAGAGCAGCGGCTTTCCAGTTGTTTCCGAAGGTTGGAGGCACACGTCTAGGATGTTTTCAGACCGCCCGAAGGCCCGCAAAGTCTTTGAAGGCATCCTGTCCCGATCTCAGTATGGTGCAGGCACAAACATGAGCAGTGCTGAGCTCCGAACCGGGGATGAGTTGTGATGACTTTGCAGTGGAATGGTCTGGTGGATTAGCAGGCATAACTGAGGCTCTATAGTCTCGATCCACGATGCCACGCAAGGCCGAACCTTTTCATCGGCTGGATTCCACCTCTCTGGAAGAAGTGCCTTCACTGAAAAGGGGTTTGTCTGCATGTCAGCACAGAACCCACGAATCACGCGAAATCGGCCAGGTATTTCCAGCCCAATGCACCTCAGTGGCTGAGCAACTATTCCTTCTTCCTCGCCGGGGGCCCGACGCAGATGTTTCATCTGAAGACATCAGCGACCCTCTTGCACGGCAGGTTTTCTACTTGCTCTTCCCGTGGCTCATGGGGTGCAGACCTCGGAGCATCTACACCATGCCCAAAACGCCAATGTTTCAGAATCCTGAACGAAAACCCTGAAACCCCTTTCACAAACACCTTCAACCTCAATCCTTGAGGCCCATGGAGGGGGATGACCACGTGGATGTCGAGGCCTGGCTGTCTCGCGTACGTTCGCGGGTTTACGGGGTTCAGGGGTTCAGTTGTTTGTGGTTTAGGAGTCGGAGAAGGGGTTTAGGGTACGTACAACTCCGGGTGAAGTGGAAAACCTGTTGCAAAAGAGGTACATGGACCATAGACTGAAGATCAAGAAACAAATATGCAAGAATTCTACATAAGCGGCATGGCAGGTGTTGTCAGTCGAGCACTTCATGTCACTCATAGATACCAACAGGCATTTTGACCAAAACAGTATTAGGTTGGACACTGGATGCACAATGAAGACATGAAAGCAGCGACATAACCAGATTAATCTTCAGCAAGTGGATACATACGGAAATAAACCTTTCTTGAACAGATGTCTCGGTTGATCCATTACATACACACCCATACATATTGTACATGTATAGACATTCATCCAGGCATCCATCCATGAATGCATGCATCCAGCCAACATGCATACAGACATGCACGCACATACATATGTACATACATATCATGTCAGTATATTCCCATAGAGTATAGTGCATAGTATGTCGTATATATCTGGCGTATAGCATGTAGTATATGGTTCAGTATAGTATAGCCTAGCCAGTACTGGGTAGCATAGTGAAGTATAGCGAGCCTGGTATGTTGCAGTATGTATAGTATAGTCTAATATAGTCTAGTGCATAACAGCATAGTATAATAAGTATAGTATCACGACCTATAGTAGAGTGTAGACAGTATAGTGTAGTAAACACAGATGAAGCATTCCTAGGTGAGAGACAGCATAGTACCACAGAGTGTAGCATAATCTAGCCGAGTGTAAATTTGCTACACGATGATATGGTAAGCCGTGAGTTCGTATGGTATTGTATGTTATGATTTGTCCTGACTCGGTATGAGCTGCTATGTTATGATGTGATATGATATGCCATGATCTGATATGTACATATAGGTACCTTTGTATGTCAGTCCGGTGAACAGTGACAGCCGAGCCGATCGCCGTGAGGTCCCCCAGAGCTGGCGAAGCGTACTGTCTCGACCTCGGATGTGGCCTGTACCTCCAGGGGCCTCCGAGCAAGATTAGGGGTGTGGTGAGTTGAATGAGTTCGTGATTCTGAGTATGAATTCCAAAACTTGAAGCCTGCAAGGCCTTTCTTGCCCGAGTCAGTGCCAGGGGCTCGGCTTCCCGTTCGCCACAACAGACTCTCCCAAGAATGGGCCTCAACATGCGTCTGAAGGCGGGTTCCGCAGACGGTCAAGGCAGAGAGGTGCCGATTCCTGGAGAGCGCGCTGACTCCTCAGAGGCACTCTCTTGCGAGAGCAGGTCTGGCCGGAGATCGGGGGGGGCCAGCCAGTGGAGGAAACTCCGTGATGCAAGCTGAAAAACACTCTTGTCAAAGACAAGTTTAGCAGCCGTTTTAGCAGCCTCGATTTATTGGACTGTTCACCCCATGCAGTTTTCAGACACAAGTTGTTAGCACCTCGGATAAGCCTCAACTGCCCTGCGCGACTCTCTTTATATTAGTTACTTCATGTTGTGTAACCGCATGAAGATGATAGCCAGCAAGCCCTTTCTCTTGACAGCTTTTCCAATTGGCTTTCCGTTGCAGCTGCAGCCACAAGCAATAGCTATTTGCGAAGATAAATGTATATAGCCCGACTTGAAGTTTATATGCAAGTGTAGCATACCAAAAGCATATCATAACATGACACCACACAGCACCACATAGCATAGCAGAGCAAAGCGAATCAAAGGGCAATTCCACAGAACAGAGCAGAACAATGAAGCAGGGAGTGCTAAACAACCAGCGTGCGATCGCCTACTGTTGTGACGCATTGCGCCTTTTTCTGCGGCGACGGAAGAAGACTGTACTTGAAGGCTCATGGGACTTAGTAAGTAAGGTTATAAGTAGGTGAGAAAAAGGATAACCCCACTTAGGGGACTTGTAACCCCGATAATAACCTACTTACTAAGTGCCATGATCCTCTAGGTATGTGCCTGTCCGACTCAGGAACTGCGCCTCCGTTTGCGTGAACACTTGCAAGGCCGTTGGGATAGGCTTTGCTCAGTCATGGAGGTTGTGACTGCTTACGGAATTCCGAGGACCATGCCTTGAGAAACGGTCGTTTCGAAATAAGAGAAATCTGATTCGAGCAAGCGGCTCTAGCGGCCAGGGAGTAGTTGCGCTCTAAGAAGCATGAGCCAGGTACCCTCGCAGGGCTGGTTGACTGATGACTTCGGGATGAAGCTGCACATCCAGCGGCTGCCTTGGACCACTGCACGCAAATATGTTCACACTCGTACTTTGCCTGCACCTGCATGTGCATATGCATACACGTACGTCTGCTATGCATATGCTCTACTACATTCATGTACACGCCTGTACACCTGGTGTACGGCACTCAGCAGTATGTTGACTGACAAGACACCACTACCTGGTGTGTTCCATGATCATTCTGTGTCTGTGTGTGAGGCACCAGGCAGGCACCAGGCAGGCAGGCAGACAGGCAGATAGATCTACAGTGCTCCGGGTCTACAAAGGCCAAAGTGGACTCTGCAAATGACTGGCCAAGGCCGAACTACGACGATTTCAGTTGCCGCTGGAAGTTCGGAGTGGAGGCCGCTTGTGGCTTTGATGCTTGCTTGGGTCTAAGACCCTATGGGTATACTCCTTCTAGCGAGTACCATGACGATTTTAAGCCTATGCTCAGTCCTCATGTCACGAGGCGCCGCCTTTGGAGGAGGATGAGGCTGTGATGGTGCCGAGCTCAGGGCGCAAGAGGCCAGAAGTTAAAGCTGAGAAGGCTTCGGGCACTCGCAGCCCCAAAACTCTGGAACAACTCCTTTAGCCTTGGGGCATTTCATGTTCCCCAATCGACCTGGAAGCTGCACCCGGCCATGTTCATTCGGGTCGAGGTGCCGTGCTTCACCACCTGCCCGTCCGAGTGCGATCCCCGTCTGGACGCAGCGTAAAGCCAAACACAGGCAAACGTCCACGTGCATCTGCAAGTCTCAGCCCCACCGGTGTTTGACAGCATGTGACTGCTTTCGGCTTGCCTTCGGAGCTTCTCAGATGATGCGACATCCAGCTGACAGACAGTCCCAAGTTGGTTTCAACTTTAGTCTCCTGATCCTCCGGGTGGGCTGCAGACCTATCCTCAAGACGGTAGCACCTGTATCTGCCAAGGTACAAAGGCACGAAGGCGGGCTGCGTTTCTGTCGCAACGCATGAAGTAGCAGTTCGTGTTTGAGTTTCAAAAGTGGGATCATAATTCCGATCCAGATACGGCAACTTTAACGAAAGGAAAGCGTGTATGAAGGAGTGGTATAACGAGTACTACGGCTTGTTTCACTGTTTTGTGCAATGCGTATGTGTAACAGAAGGTATTTATACTATTTATACACGTGCTTATAATGTATAATATGTAGATATGTAGATATGTAGTTATGCGAATGTATGGATGGATGGACGGACGGACGGAGGGATGGATGGATGGATGGATGTGCATGTATGTATGTGCATGTATGTATGTATGCATGCGTAGAGAGATAGATAACTAGATAGAAGACATGTCCATGCGTGTAAACATACATAAAACCGAATCTGAAGTTGATTTTCATCCAGTATTTCTGTTCGTATATATATATATACATACATACATACATACATATATATATACATACACCCACACACTTTTGGCACATGGTCGAGTATTCCAACTCGACAATATCAAGATTCGCAGGGCTTAGTCGCTCAAGCCTAGGTTGTTCGCAGGTTGCTCGGACTCGTGTTTCCTTCCTCCTGCTGTCAGCCACTCGAGTGCGAGTTCTAGTAACCAGCAAGAGAATTTAGCAGTTGGTGGAGTGGGCAGCTGACGAGGACGCTTTGAGCATGCGGCAGAAGCTGCGTGCTGATGCAGAGGCTCATGATGTTTGCGTGGTGTCTTTCTTCGGAATGAGACGAGCTTGGCTTTCGTTGCTCTGATTGCTAGCTGGTGATTTGGAAATGAAGCTGAATCATTGCGGCTGTGGACAAAGCCCGCAAGCAGTGACCTGTGAAACGGAAGGCAGCTGAGCTGGAGGCATCCAACGACCGTCCCGGGCTTTGCGAAGGAGGGCGAGGTCTCGGAAAGGTCAGGATTGAGGATCTCTCCCGAGTTTTAAAGTACCCCGAACTTCAAGAGCAAGGCAGTTTCGTTGTTTCTGGTGGTTGTAGTAGTAGCAGCAATAGTAGAAGTACTAGTAGTAGTGGTTGTAGCAGTAGCAGTAGTAGCAGTAGTAGCAGTAGTAACAGTGGTAGCAGTAGTAACAGGAGTGTAGTTGAGGCAGTAGCAGTAGTAGTGGTAGTAGTGGTAGTAGCAGTAGCAGTAGTATCACCACTGTTGGTAGTTCGTCGCCTACTACTTGCTTAGGAGGACGACTACTATTGCTATTGCTGCTGCAGTACTGCTTCTGCCGCTGCTGCTGCTACGGCTACTAGCGATCGCTGCCAAGACCTGCACTCCTCCAGCCTAAGCTGTCGACACGCATCACTGTCACTACTAGTGCAGAGTTGCTGACTAAATCGCAAACAAGACAATCCCACTTACCTACAGCTTTCCAGATTGGCACTGCTGCATCTGGCCCAAGCCCGGAATGCTGCGGGCTTCATCTGCTTAGCGAATCTTTCCGGCCCGGGACAGCCCACATGGTACAGCAAGCCAGACGAGTGACCAGAGTCTTAATGTTAGTGCTCCCGACACTTCGCACATAGATTAGCCTGGAACCTGTTCTTTCTTATCGGACATTATGATCTCACACTCCTTGTCGGACCTTGAAGCAACCCGAAACTATTCCGAAGCGGTCTTGCCGTGCTTCTTGCCTAACTGGCACCTCGCAGATGGGATGAAGCCGGAAGTTGATCTTGAACGCAAAGGCCAAGTGAGGGCTCTGCTGCAAGCGGCGAGACCTAAGCCTAACCTGCAAGAGCTGTTGTCGAGTTGTCGTCAATGTCCCCGTCATCACAGTCATGATGATAATCATCATCATCATCATCACAACCATCGCCATCATGATGACGATCGTCACCCTCCCCCTACCCCTCCTCCTGCGGCAGGGCTTTCGGACTACGGCACGGCCAAACTGCCACTATCCAAGTCTGGATGGGCGTCGGAGGCGCGCGTGCGCAGCTGGAGTTGCTTTCGGCACTTGGGGAGTTTCAAGTCGTGCATCGACCCTTCTGTCTCTTTCCAGCCATGCTTGACAGGAGGATTCGTGAACTTGTCCTCTTCGCTTGCTTTAGCAGAGACCGTTTCCTAGCCGGAAGCCCTTTCGATCTTAGCGACCACCTGGCATGGCAAACTGGTGCAACAGTCGAATGTGATATTGAAATTAAAGTGTTGTTCCAGTGAATATGTTGCTGTTCGCTGATTGTTGAAACCAGCGATATGCTACGAACTGTGTGGTTCCATTAGTCTGCTTGATTCGGTCTTGCAGCAAAGTCTGGCACAGCCGGGCAAGGCGTCCAATCAGTCTGCCTTGCACGAGGAACTGTTCCTCTTGGCGGGCCTCGTATGCATCATCTTCAGCACCGCACCCTGGACTGACATGAATGGCGGATCGCGACTTGAGCAGCCTAGCGCTTAAGGGCAATGTATCAAATGATCCCTAATCCCGACGGTCTGCACTTCCAGGCGCCACCTCCTTCACATCCCCCCCAGCTCAGATCGGGTCAACCTACTACTACTGGGCCCTGCTGCCTGCGTGGGAGGCTTTCCCGTATTCAGCTGGTTGCTGTCGGCATACTTCTCCAACATGCTCTGCAGCAGTTTCAAGCAAACATCCGGTACGGCGGAATGAACAAGATCGCCAGTCGCAGGCCGATGAATCACTGGGGTGGACGAAATCCTCGACGACGCTCATCAGCTGGAGTAGCACGGTGGCCGAGGCTGTACAGAGGGATCTACAGGCTTCTACGGGGAAGCAGGTCGAGTTGGAGAAAGGAGCAGGTTCCGGCTTCTGCCGGCAATTGCAAGATAAGGATCATTCCATATCGACGACTCAATCACAGAGTAAGCGCATAGGGGCATGCAGGGATGTAAATCTGTCGGCCGGCATCTTATAGTAATAATCGTAATAATAACAATAGTAATAGCAATAGTAGCAATAATAGGAATAATAAGAATAACTTAGAATAGTAATCCTGGATCTTCCATCGCAAAGCCTGCAGATGCGCATTGTCTGTCCTTGACTTCCTGTGATCCTTTCGAGAGTAGGCTGCCGGACTCCTTGTGGCAGGGCCGCTCTCGGACGCTCAGCTGAAGTATATTATTGTAAATCATAGTATGTTATAGTAGGTTAGAGTAGATTACAGTAGGCTATAGTATGTTATTGCATCTTAGAGTATGATACGGAAAATTAAAGTATGTCATACTAGCCCCTTGAAGGGTGTACCCGAGTTGAAAGTGGGGTTCAGGGACTTGCGTGTTAGTGACCAGTGTGACCCGGTGCGGAATGTCTGAACCCGGGGCAACTCAAGATTCTCATTGTCGTTGCATGCTGCAAGACCGAAAGACTCGGTGCAGGCTTGAACGGCTGAGTTGAAGGAGCTTGGTTTTCCAGGAACGCCGAGGCACTGCATTCTGACCGGCTTTACGGTTTCAGGATTCCACGCCTCACCTCTTCACCTCTTGACCTCTATCCGACTCTATCCCTTCCGTCCCGCCCAAGCCGAGGACTACATTGAGCCAGAGCCCCAGGAGCCGACTTTGAATCAAGTCTTGTGGGAGTTGCTGGGCCCACGCAGGGAGGGGCTGACATCAGTACAGATGGATTCGGTGTGGCCGAGAACTTTGAATTCTTTCACTTAGTTGCTAAGGGCATCCTTCCGGCGGCCTGAGCGCATGTAGACGTCTGTGCCACTTCCTCTAGCTCTTTCGCGCCAAGGCCTCTCCAGCTCATCCTCCTGGAGACATGCCTGGCCTTGACTGACGCTCGGAACATTCGGGGTGTGCAGCCAATCCTTCCACAAACTTTCAGAACCTTGCAGAGCTGAGCTTTTGGCATGCTCCTTTCTTGCGAGAACTTTTTTTGTACAGGCTTGAGCGTTCTCTGGCAGCAATGTGTGCTGCATGTTGTCTCAGGGTGTGTTCGTGAACTCCCAAATCGTGACGACTGCCGAGGGCCTTGTGGCTTCACTGCACTGCGCAATCTGAGTTTGGTCAAAGCCTAGTGTAGAAAGTACCTCGGGCCTCAGGCTTAGCTAAGATGTGCAGGGCGGGTAAGACGATCAAGTATGCAACAAGCTTGAGCCCGCTGCATTGGCTTCGACGCAACAGGGTGCCTCGGGCCATGCTCATGCTGGCCGACATCCCATTCTAGTACCTGTAGCTGAGTTGACATATGTGGAGCAGCGCAAAGTTTTGCAAACTGGAATGCTCCATGACGATTCAGGTGCTGAACGTGTTCATCATTGCCTTCTTGAAAGGCCCTCTTCAGACATGTGTGACACCTCTTGTCCGTGCTCGTGTTAGTATGAAGGCTGCTGCACTCTGCCCTCCTGAGTCCATCCTATGACTGTACATCCTGCAGTCGAAGCAAGAGCCACAGAAACAACATCAGACATGCTGACAATGAGAATCATGAATCATGATAGTAAAGATGCAGCTGATGATGATTCTTCTTCTGCAGCTGCTGATGATGTTGACGACAAAAAGATGGCGATGCTGACGACGACGGCGGTGGCGATGCTGACGACGACGGCGGTGGCGGTGGCGGTGGCGGTGGCGGTGGCGGTGGCGGTGGCGGTGGCGGTGGCAGTGGCGGTGGCGGTGGCGGTGGTGGTGGTGGCGGTGGTGGTGGTTGTGGTGGTGGTATGTAGTGCTGGTGTCGTTTTCTTGTGCGGAAGTTAGCAGTGTTACGATGATGGTGGTAGTAGTGGTAGAAAAAGATGTGGTCGAAGGAGGAGGAGAAGGAGGAAGTCGTGGTGGTGGTGGTGGTGGTGGTGGTGATAGCCATCACAATCATCCTGCCAATGGTTATGAGGATGATGATGGTGATGATGATGGGAGCTCGGCAGTCGAAGTAAGTCCTGATCATAGTCTGCAATGCTACTCCTGCACATCTCGCAGCTTCGAATGGCCCTTGCTGTACCTGGAGGCATCTTGTGGCCTGCAGTTGGAGCCACGGTCTTCAGAATGTGCTTTGGCACGAAACTACCTGGAGGTCAGGCATGGGATTTGATTGCATGTTCCGAAATGCACGGTTTGAAGCCTACTGCTGCTAATGCTCTCCACTCGCGACCAGAAGACTCAATGACAAGAATGCAAGCTTGTACACTTCTCCTACCCATGAGTCCGTGTGCGATATGTCTCCAAGGATCCCGCGGGCAGCTTGGTCAAATCTTGGCCCTCTCAGACATCCCGAGGTCTCGCGGTGTTGTCCAGGCTTCAGCTGTCGTTGGGTTTGTCTGGCCGATTGTGCCCAGGCCCAGCTGTTGCAAGAGCAGAGTCTCTGTGCATGTCTCGTGCATTGACGAAGGAAAGGCAGGACATCTTCATCTTCTGCGGCGGGTTGGCCAGTCGATTCTCAGGACCTGGGTGCCTGCAAGCTGGTCTTCGAGGCAACAGCTTGCCCTGTGGATTCTTCACGCGCTGTCCTGAGCTTCAGGATCTTTTGGCGACTTTTTCATCGGCTTCCTGTTGTGGCTTGGTTTCCGAAGCGTCTGGGGGCTTCGTATTCGTCGCCAAACTCGTCTCGAGGGCCATGTTCCACTGCGACTGCACAGCATTCCTAGCTGTGCATGCGGGATGCAAGCCTCTCATGTCAAAGGGGAGTTCCGAAATAGGGGACCCAAATATAGTACGTACCCAAACAGTAGGATCCTTATTATAAGGACACCAAAGTAAGGTGCCCTTAATTTTCGGAAACTCCCATAGTGGAGCCAAGGAACTGCGGAATGAGCTGGCGATCATCCTTGCTCTTCGTGGTTGGCTGCTGGCTTCAAGGGTTTCGGCTAAGTAGTATAGGAGCCTGAATTTACCAATACATACCAATACTATTTTGGGGGTTCCTTAATATAATTATAGTATAGTGTCCCCAAAGCCCTATTCTACTTATTAAGGCCCCTATATTGTAGAACCCTATTATAGACCCCTTCAAAGGAGGTACCCTGTTAAAAGGCACCCTATTCTATTTCTTAAGGCTCCACACTCGTCACTTCGGAAGTACAGAGATGGTGATGTTGCGGTGCGATCCGTGGGGTCGGCCAGCCGAGGCATAGACTTTGCTCTGGTGCTGGCGACCCTGTTCTGTCTTCAGAGGCCCTACTTGGAGGTTCATGGGTAGTTATAAGTGCGGTTATAAGTCCCCCCATATGGATTATAAGTATAGTTACCCTACTTATAAGTTCTGTCTTCAGAGGCCCTAGTCTTACCTTTGGTTAGTAGGGAATGGAGGAGTGGGGTACAATAATAACTACTATTACGACTACAATTCTTCCATTCAGAGGCCCTAGTGGGAAGCAGAGACCCTGGGAAGAGTCGGGCTTGAAGGGTCGAAGCCAGAATGCAGCCAGAAATACTTTCCTGCCGTATCGACAGCATCACCACGTTGCAGTTCCCAGATCAGGCCCTTAAACCCTAAACCCTAAACCAGGCTCTACCTAACAGGTATTCCGACTGTAGCAGGGAGGAAAGGGGCCCTCAACACTAAGCCAGCCTTCAAGCATTTCCTGACAGAACTTGGCCAGGACCGGTTTGGGAAGCAACTTTGCGCTTGGGCGCGACGCTGCTGCCGATGGCGATCCCGATGCCTCGCCCATTTGGACAACCAACTACAGCAACCCGATGTCAGAAATATGTATATATATATAACATATACATATATATGTATATATGTATATATATATATATATATAATTATATATGTATATATGTATATATATATATATATATATATGTATATATATATATATATATGTATGCTAGCCCCTCCTCATGTACCCGTTCTTTGTGATTGAATTGTGCGGGTCCCTACAAACCTTTCCAGTCTCTACAGTTCTTGGCCATATGCAAAGTACACTAAACTATTAGCATGTTGTTCTACGCCAGCACTAAGTGTAGTTTCACCGCTACCAATAATGCTCTTCCTGTCACCAGTGTCTTTACTACTATGGTTATACTCGCCGGTCGGATTGCTTCAGTAATACCAACCCAGCTAACACTCTTCATTTCCCCCTGTCTTAGTATGTCTGAATAAAGCTTTCCGAAGTACATAACCCAGCTAGCACTCTTTATTTCCCCCTATGTCTGAATAAAAACCTTTCCTAGATAAATTAGTCCTGTGGCTACTACTTTTCACACCATTTTATACCCGACCTGTAAATTTAAATGTACCAGATGTTGAGTCCTACGTTTATTCAAATTTTGCTATTACTTTTTGCGTATTCGCATTTGTGCTTGCGCGATTTACCAACATACACAAACACGCTGAGTAGAAGTATGGCTTATTCTTCTGGCATATTTGCTCTTTGAAGCCAGCTGAAAGAGTGAAGACCGAAGATGTTTCAACATGTTTTGGCTGCCTATTGAACTTTCTGCTCCATTCTACTCCTCTTCGGTTAAGCTATATTTTTGTTGGTACTGATGAAATAAGTTTGTTGTTCTCGTGGTCTTGTGTTGATGTCAACTGCAAGCTGTACATGTTTCTTCTGAGATTTGTTATTCTTTAGCCTGTGCATCGTTTGAGTCATGTCCATCGTATCGAGCTGGGGCTTGTCTGTTCTTACAGAATCGCTTACAAGTTTCGCACCTAATACATGATGACCACTAAGGACTCGTGTATGTCAGAGTTTTGTGGTGGCTGTACTGGGTAGTGTTCGTTACGGTAAGCAAAGGTCAAAGCTGTACAAAAATGAAAGTGCACCAATTAAAGACACCCCCCCATGCAAACATGAAGCAATGCACGTTACACATGTACCTTTTGAAAACTGTAAGCTAAGCCAATTCATTTTCCATATAACACTAAATTCCCTTAGCAAAGCCTTCAGTCGTAGACAGAAGTAGACGATATATAAGTACAGTTCCGTACACGATAACGGACGAAGACGATCAATGAAGTGATCTTCTTATAGTAACGTCTTCAAGCAGAGATTCATACCTAGTCTTGTACAGGACGAATGGGTTCATTTCATGAACATGTTCGCAACTATGTAGTAACTCATATGCATATGTAATCACATCACAAGAGCACATATGTCATATGTGTGCCCAACAATTGAATCCGGTCAATCCGCCGAACTATCAAAACTAGTGGTTAGGCCTACTAAATTTCATGAACAATTTTACACCTGTCA